ACGCGATACTGGGCAAAGATATGAAGAAATGAAAATAAACGGTAAACAGATGGGTATTGTTGTGAAAATGACCCGAAATCCTCGCAGTGTTCAAGACATATGTACGGTGCATGAGGCACCAGCATCGGAGCAGGGAGACTACCTCACCGACGTCGCCACTTTGGCTAGGCATAGAATCATCATGATTCAATCATGGTGCTGGGTAGATTCAAACTATATTCACGTCCTGCAGATTGCCCAAGATCACATACTTGTCGTAATCTTTTATGTCATCAGAATAGTCACGAAATACGTACGTAATTAAGTAGTACCAGCCACCTTCCACTCTTTTTATGACGATTTCTTGTATGGTGTAAATCTCAGAACTGGGTACGTTGGAGGAGCATTTGTGCATACAAAATAGCCTCAACCCGTCGCTGTTCGCTGTACCAGTTAGCCTATCCCACGAGCTCCAAATGCTCACGTTATTAGGGAGAGTACCAGAGTCGATAGTTGAAACTTGGACACCCACTTCAACAGGCTCTGGACCGTAGATGTTCTTACCTGGGGCTGGATTCCACCAGAAGTCTCTGGTTTCATCACCGACACTCAGGTGAGCCCAACCATCCGTTCCCACTAGGACATCATGCGTTTCGGTGCCAGGCACGGTGGACAGATTGAGGTTCATATGCAGGCTGCCATAATGCCAAGGCCTGTTGGTGTTGAGTATGATCCCGGCAACCTCTCTATGAACTCCATCGATTGTATATCCCTTCATGTTGTAAATGCAGGAAGGCGCTAGAATATTGTAAATGGTGCTTCCATTCCCTGGACCAGGACCTCCATAACAACCCAGTGGATAGTCAGCAGTAATCTGGAAAGGGATATCAGGTAGTCCCAGGGCTGCTTCCATCACAGTGGCAAGCAAGAGAGAGCCGTAAGCAAGAGGCATCACGAATAAGATTTAACCTGGAGAGTTTGTTGATGGGAATCCAACGATTGTGACGCAGTCGAACGGATACACGTTCCTCTTCACGTCAACGGCACGCCCGCGGCATCATTATCACTACAGAGATAAGGCGTATGACTGAAATAGCAAAGATATGTCAATGCGGAGCATCTCAGCGGTGTTGCTCGGGAAAGAAGAACACTCAGGAGCAGTAAGTAAAATTCCGTAGGATATCATGTGCTCCGTTCATGTTACAACACATTGTGCTGAACACAGGGATATCAGTATAAATCTTCCTGTATACGGGTAAACTGCATAACTATACTTACTGGCATGCGAATACAGGCCACAGCTGAGTAGAATCGAGGTAATACATTGACCATGGCTCTGATCAGAGACTCTGATTCAGGGTGGTAGTCGGCCGGTTTTACAAAAAAAACTCAATCCATCACCCACAAGCTGCGCGCTAGAGCGGGGGACTGCGCGTTAAGAATCTAAGCCTTAGATCAAACCGGCATATTGGGCCTGTTTCACAAGGATACTTAATTTAAGGCGCCTTAATTTAGGAGCAACGTAAGGAGTTACTTAAGGTATACTTAAGAACTACTCAACTCATTTCACAACGTTTAGAAGCAACTTAAGGAGCTCC